CACAGCTCGGCCGGCTCGCGAGGGCTGCGCAGGCCCCGCCCTGGGAGCCCGCGGGGCTCCGGGGCTGCGGCCGGCAGTGCTGGAGCTGGCCGGGCTCTCGAGCCCCGAATTTGTGCAGAGTCACAGATGCAAACGCTGGGCGCTGCAGGCTGCCGGCTCACCTCGGAAAACCCGGCAGCGGTGCTTCGGCACCACCACCGGGCCACGTCCAAGCCGGGCCCGGCTTCAGCGTAGAACTACCTGGAACACCTTCCAACATCCACAGAAGAATAGCCGTTTGTAGCCGTCTCTCCCGTCTTGCCGACTGAATAGGATTGAGTGCTGAGACACTACTGCAATGCCTCCCAAATTTATCCGAGGCAAAGCTCCACCACCACCACCCACCAGCCCCAGGGAGATGAGGGGCTCCATTGAAGATCAAGAATAGACTGTAATCCCAGCTACTCAGGAGGCTAAACCTGGGCAGAGAAGCTGAAAGACTCCTACCTCGAACCACCAAAGAGCCAGTAGAGAGGTGTGGCTCAAGTGGAAGGCCATGAGGAATAAAGCTCAGGGATAGCACTCAGGCTCTGAGTTCAAGCCCCAGTACCGACACACAGATACACAGATACAAAAAGAGACTAGGGCTGGGAAAGTGACTCAGTGGTAGAGTGCTTGCCTTACATGCATGAGGCCCTGGGTTGGAATCCTCAGCACCACAGAAACAAAAAGTAGGAGGTGACATGGTGGCTCAAGTGATCGAGCACTAACTAGCCTTGAGCTGAAGAGCTGAGGGACAGCACCCAGGCCCAGAATTCAAGACCCACAACGGACAAAAAATAAAAACAACAAAGCCAGGCACCAGTGGCTCACACCTGTAATCCTAGCATCTCAGGAGCCTGAGATTTGAGGATTGTAGTTCAAGGCCAGCCCAGGCAAAAAAGTCAATTAGATTCTTAGCTCCAATTAACCACCAGAAAACTGAAAGTGGTGCTGTGGCTCAAGTGGTAGAGCACTAACCAGGTCCAGAGTTCAAGACCCACAACCAACATACCCAAAAAATAAGAGTACCATGTTGGATCAAGAGGGCTCCAAAGTGACATTGTGATGCCGAGGACAAACCATATGGAAATGTCTCTGTAGCTGAAGGCAGATGAGCTTTGCAGTCTGTTGCCAAATTTCCACAGAAAATATGGCTCAACATTCTGTCCAGGTCATAAAGCATTTTAGCTCATCCTCCATAGACACACTTATGGCCATACCTTTGCCCAAATACAGGGCGAACACTGTAAGTTTAGCGCCCATTCTACCTTCCAGTGAATTCTGCGCCTTGAACATAAATGCAAATCATTCAGTCTTAAGTTTCAAAACAGTGCTCCCTTTCTTTAAAGGTGTTTTATGTCTATAATACTACACATTGTCACTGAAACACAAGTGTGGGGATGTAGCTCAGTGGTAGAGCACCTGCCTAACTGCCTAGCTCAATCCCCGAACCACAAAAACAAGTAAAATCCTATCTGGGCTGTACATATTGACGCAAGCCTCTAATCTCAGTACTCAAGAGGCTGCTGCAGGGGTTGCTGAGAATTTGGGGCATGTGGTGAGATCCTGTCTCACTCAAAACAAAAAACAAAAAATCCAGGAATACAAATGTTAATGTTGCCAAATATTTTACAGAAACATAATTCAACTATTACTAGTAATGAGCAGTTATGAAATGTTCACAATGTGCTAGGCCTTATAATACTGCATTATTTAAGCTTCACAACAATTTATGAGAAGATATGATTATTCTTATTTCACAGATGTGGAAACTGAGGCTCAGAGCAGACAAATCACTTGTATAAGAGCCGTAAATGATGGCACTGAACCCAGATGATCAATGTGAATGTACTTTACCATAAGGAATGTTTACTACATGTCTTGATTTCAAGACAAACACAACTAACATAAAGATCCATTCATTTGTTCAGAATATATTTACTGGAGCAAATGTACGCTAGGCCTTATGCTTAGAACTCAGATCTGAACATAGAGCTGGGAAATGGAGAAGCTCTTCCCACCTGGGAGAGGTTAGCAGGACCTTCTAGGTCACAGTGATCATTATGGATTTTGTCCTAGGAACCACAGGAAGGTTGAGGGCGTAGCAGTGAGGGTCACTCGATAGAAAGTCATATTCTCAGGCTGGGAATGTGGCTTAGAGGTAGAATGCTTCCTAGCATGCATAAAGCTCTAGGTCCTACATAAACAGAAAAAGCCGGAAGTGGCACTGTGGCTCAAGTGGTAGAGTGCTAGCTTTAAGCAAAAGAAGCTCAAGGACAGTGCCCAAGCCCTGATTTCGAGTCCCAAGACTGACCCAAAAAAAAATTTTTTTTAAATCCATATTCTTGGGAACCTATCTAGCTGCCATGGGATAATGAAAACTGAACACTGAAGTAGAAGAAAGAACAGTTAGAAGAGGTGGTAAAGGAATAAAGATGGATTGATCCTGCTAAAAATAACATGATTGCAGATTGGCTATGATAATGCAGGCCTATAATCCTAGACATTAGAAAGCTGAGGAAGATTACCACATCAAGTACATAGAGACATAAAGAGTTCTAGGTTAGTCTGGGCTACATAGTAAGATTCTGCTTAAAAAAACAAAAAAACAAATGGTACCAGTGGCTCATGGTTGTAATCCTAGCTACTTAGGAGGCTGAGGATCAGGGTACAAAGCCAGCCTGGGCAGATAAGGCCCTTGAGACTCTTATCTCCAACATACTACTCAGAAAAAACTACAAGTGGCACTATGGCTTAAGTGGTAGAGCACTAGCCTTGAGCAAAAGAAGTTCAGAGTGGGGAGGGGGGGAGAGATGGGAAGGGGAAATAAAGAAATAAAGGAGGAGGCAACAATATTTGATAAGAAATGTACGCATTAGGGCTGGGAAGGTGGCTCAGTGGTAGAGTGATTGCCTGGCATGCATGAGGCCCTCGGTTTGATTCCCCAGCACCACAGAAGCAGAAAAAAGCTGAAAGTGGTGTTGTGGCTCAAGTGGTAGGGCACTAGCCTTGAGCTGAAGAGCTGAGGGACAGCGTCCAGGCCCAAAGTTCAGGACCAGTAGAAAATAAAAATTAAATACTTAAAAAACAAGAAAGAAAGAAAGCTGGGTGCCAGTGGCTCACACCTGTAGTCCTAGATACTCAGGAGGCTGAGGTCTGAAGACCGAGGTTCAAAGCCAGCCTGGGCATGAAAGTCTGTGCGACTCATCTCCAATTAACCACTTGAAAACTGGAAATGGCGCTGTGGCTTAAGTAGTAGATCACTAGCCTTGAGCTGAAGAGCTCAGGGATAGCAACCAGGCCTAGAGTTCAAGCCTCACAACTGACCAAAAAATAAATAAATAAATAAAATAAGGGGGGGGATAAGTAACATGACTATAAGACTTCAAAATGAGAATGAAATTGAAAAGTTTGTTTAGATGATTCAGCAGGACTCTTTAAGAAAAAGCAGGACCAGCTGGGTGCTGATATCTCACCCCTGTAATCCTAGCTACTCAGGAAGCCGAGATCTGAGGATTCAAGTTTAAGCCAGTCCAGACAGAAAATTCATGAGACACTTATCTTCAACTAACCAGCAAAAGCCAGAAGTGGAGGTGTGGCTCAACTGGTAGAGCAACAACCCTCTTGACCAAAATAGCCGAGAAGGCAAAAGGCCCTGAGTTCAAGCCCCAGTACCACACACAAGCCTGTTTATTTGATGTACTGCAAATCATTGGTATTTGAAATTCCAAACACCCAATGTAATAGTTTGAAAGAGTAATGGAGACTAAGACACAGGTAACTATTAATCTGAGGTCAAGTCAGATAGTGGAAATCACTAACTAACGCAGTAATTTTTATTTATTTATTGTCAGTCATGCGCCTGAACTCTGGGCCTGGGTGCTGTCCCTCAGCTCTTCAGCTCAAGGATAGCACTCTACCAATTGAGCCACAGCGCCACTTCTGGCCTTTTCTGTTTAAGTGGCGTTTAGGAATCAAATGTGGGGCCTCAAGCATGCAAGGCAAGCCCTCTACCACTGAGCTACCTTACAAGCCCCTAATGCAGTAATTTTAAAGGAGACTTGTAAGCCTGCCAGGGAAGAAGCTGGAACTTTCCCCTTTACTTTGGTTGAGAAAGGGAGGTGGGCAGGAAAGCAAAGAGGCAGTAACTCCCACCTCTGAAAAACAGAATAAAAAATTGCAAAGACAGAGATGATAAACTGCCTGGCTCTCAATGATAATGACTATCTTCCCCTGTCTTAAGCATTCCAGTGACAAATGGTTAGTTTTGTCTCTATAGATTAATGAAAGCAAGCTCTATTTTTGTTTAGTTCACTATTTTTTCTTTTTTGGTTGTGGGTCTTGAACTCTGGGCCTGGGCGCTGTCCCTCAGCTCTTCAGCTCAAGGCTAGTGTTCTACCACTTGGGCCACAGCGCCACTTCCTGTTTTCTGGTGGTTAATTGGAGATAAGAGTCTCATGGACTTTCTTGCCCTGGGCTGGCTTTGAACTGTGATTCTCAGATCTCAGCCTCCTGAGAAGCTAGGATTACAGGCATGAGCTACCAGCGCCCGCACGCCCGGCTTTCACTGCTTTTGAAATGGTGGCTTAAATGGTTTTGTGGTGAGGGGAAAAATGAACTGAGGAACCATAATTTTGCCAAGACTTATCTAAATGAGATAAATATAATGTAGATGCATATCACTTGTCTAAGGAATAATATTAGTCTTCTTTTTGTGTGTGTTAATTTGGTTACAAAGTACTTTAACTGTACATTTTTTCATTAGAGTCTAGAAAGCCAGAGAGCAGTGACTCACATCTCTAATTCTAACTATTCAGAAGGCTGAGATCTAAGGACTGCAGTTGAAGTCCATGAGACTTTTATCTCCAAATAACTAGCAAAACGCTAGAAGGGGAGCTATGGTCAAATGGTAGAGCACTAGCCTTGAGCAAAAAAGGCTAAGGGACAATATACAGGCCCTGACTTCAAGCCACCATACTAGTACAAAAAGAAAAAGGGAGGGGGGAAAAAGGAATCTAAGTAAGTCTTGTCCTCAAAGACCCTATTGGACTGATGGGGGAATAAATAATATAATTGGGTACAGGGTCTGAAAACTGAAAACAAGGGGACCCAATAAAAATCTGATGTTAAAAGTCATGATTTCATTATTCTTGCTACAGAGAGCATACTGCATTAAGGCAAATTCCTACCAAAATACGTTGTCTTGGAATTTCGGGGAAAATGGCATATCCCAACTTTTTTTTTTAAATAAGAATTTCTAAAGCCAAGGGCAAAGTGAGTGGCTCCTGCCTGTACAACCCCAGCACCTGGAGGGTCCGGAGGCTCAAGCCACTCCGGACTACAAAAGAAATCAATAGAAATAGTCATCTCACTCAACGGTTAGGCTTAAGTTTCCGGCTCCCGGGCGGGAGGGCGACTCGGCGGCCCGGCAGGCCGGGGAATGACCAGCGGTCGGAGATCTCTCTGCCGCATAACGAGGGCATCAGGATCCAGACAGCGAACTAAGTATGCAAGGAAGGCCCGCGGGCGGGGCCGTGGGCGCCCAGCGCGCCCTCCCGGGAAGCGGGGGCCCGATCGGTGGGCGCCAAGACCATCCCCGGGCCGTGCCAGCCGGCCTGTCACAGCCCGAAGCGGGCCACGGCGCCGCGCCCCGCCCCGCGGCGCAGGGCTGACTCAGGGCGCCGGGAACCAAGGCGCCGGCGTTCACTCCAACGCGCTCCCCATCTCGTGGGTTAAACCCGACCTGCGCCCCACGGAGAGCCCCGAGTGGGCGAAACCCCACTGCCCCCCGCCCCCCCCCAACTACTCCTCGGAGCTTCGACACCTGGATCCACTCTCTGGAGAGGCAAAGCCAGCGGGCACCCAGGCTCCGGAAGGCACAGAAAGGGTCTTCTCCGGGCCACGGGAGCAGGGGGCCGGGAGGGAAAGGTTCCGCACAGCCGCCTCCCCCGCCGCCCTCCCGGGTCCCACGCTCCACCCGCTACCGTTCCCGCCACCCTGGCTCCCTCCAGCGCGAATTCCCAGCCGCCCGGTCTCCCCCGGCTCGGGCTACCCGGACAGATACCTCTAGCCATGGCCCGGCACTGTCACCGCCGGGGATCTCCCGGGAAACCGAGCTTTCGAAAAAAGTTAAAACAACTGTAGCCAACTGCTCGGCGGAGCTGCAGCTGCTCGCCCTGATTGGCGCGGTCCCCCGCTTCTCTGCAGGTTGCCTGCCGGGATAGGCGCGCTGGCGAGGAGATCCCGCCCCAGTCCCCGCCTCCGCCGAGGGGCGGGGCCACCGGCCACACTTTCTACAAACGCTTGCGGGACAGGTCCCGACGGAGAAGGTGGAGGGGGTTTAAATTTGCCCGTCTTTCGGCTTTGATTGGCTGAGCTGGAAGGAGACCCGCACGACCATTGGGGGAGACGCAAGCTCCTCCCCCTCCGCGCTGAAGCTCCGCCCCAGGTTAGTTAGTCTTGCTGTTGAAGGCCCCGGCTTAGAACCTGTCCTGGCACTTCCGGTCTTTTAGCGTGCTTGACCGGAACCTGACCTTTGAACCCCCCCCATCTCTCCCTTGGGTCTGTGAAGCCCAGCTTGCTTTGATGTCCCCATAGTCCATGTCTTTCTAGGTTTGCAAGGTTTATTGAAAAACTCCATTCTTCCAATATTTCAAACCCTGGGAACACAACTCCCAACATCTAACTGGTAAATGGGTAAGCTTTGGCGCTAGCTCAACACGCCCAACTGATTTATAGATGAGGTAATAGAGGAAGCAGGGGCCCCTAGCAGTTGTTGTGGGTTTTTTTTTTTTTTTGTCGGTCGTGGGGCTTGAACTCTGGGCCTGGGCACGCTGTCCCTGAGCCTCTTTGTGCTCAAGGCTAGCTCTACCATTTGGACCCAGCACCACTTCCAACTTTATCTGAGTAGTTTATTGGAGATAAGAGTCTCATGGACTTTTTTGCCTGGGCTGGCTTCAAACAGCTATCTTCAAATCTCAGCCTCCTAAGTAGCTGGGATTACAAGTCTGAGCCACTGGTACCAAGCTCCTTTATTATTTAAGGCAAAGTCCCATGGCTGGGAATGTGGCTTAGTGGTAGAGTGTTTGACTAGCACACATGAAGCCCTGGATTCCATTCCTCACTGCCACATAAACAGTAAAAGCCAGAAGTGGCACTATGGCTCAAGTGGTAGAGTGCTATCCTTGAGCAAGAGAGGCTCAGGGACAGAGCCCAGGCCTGAGTTCAAGCCCCAGGACCAGAAAAAAAAAAACCAACAAAACAACATCCCATTATATTGCTCAGGCTGACCCTAAAATACAATCCCTCTGTCTTAGCCTCCCAGGTGTTGCCATTACAGGCATGGTTGGTTTTAGGGACTGGAAAGATGGCTCAATGGTACAGTGCTTGCCTTGCATGCATGAGGCCCTGGGTTCAATCCCTCAGCACCACATAAGCAGAAAAAGCTGGAAGTGGTGCTGTGGGTCAAGTCGCAGAATGCTCACCTTGAGCTGAAGAGCTGAGGGACAGCACCCAGGTCCAGAGTTCAAGCCCCATGACCAGCAAAAAAAAATAAAAAAATAATGGCAAATACTTAAATTGAAATGCAGAATATTCTTGGGTGAGAGTAAGGAGATAGTTGCTTCTTTATATTGGCAACTTTAGGTTATATCCTAAATAAAGAAGATCTATCCAGGTGCAGGTGGCTTACACTAATCCTAGCTACTCAGGAGACTGAGATCCAAGAATGAAAATTGTGGTTGGAAGCCAGCCTGAGCAAGAAAGTCCGTGAGACTCTTTTTTTTTTGGGGGGGGGAGGAGTGGAGGACAATCGTGGGGCTTGAACTCTGGGCCTGGTCGTTGTCCCTCAGCTCTTCAGCTCAAGGTGGGTACTCTACTTCTGAGCCAAAGTGCCACCTCCAGTTTTCTGGTGGTTAATTTGGAGATAAGAGTCTCACCCAGGCTGGCTTTGAAATGTGATCCTCAGATCTCAGACTCCTGAGTAGCTGGGATTACAGGGGTGAGCCACCAGTGCCCAGCTTTTTTCCTCTTATTAGTCTGGCCCGAGTCACTTTCAGAAACAGCCTGTATGTGTGCCAACAGCCTCCATTCAGAATTCTCACTCTCAGCCTTGAAGAGCTCTGGAAGGGCCATCAACAACCTAGTGGTTCCCCTTCCTTAGGAAGCGCAGAAACCAGCTCTGCAGGGCTTCCCCTCAGTTCCCTCTGCTCTCCTCACCCCAACTTATTCTGTTTTTCAGCCTTGGAGATGGAAGCTGCTTGCTGTACTTGTTACTTATAAGACTTCCATATTTGCTTTTTACTTTTTTAGTCCTCTTAACACCTGCTTAATAAACTTCCTATTTTAAATTCTCTTTTTACCCATCTGGACCCTATTATAAAGGTCCTCATAAAGATTCACTTTTGCCTGGGTACCAGTGGCTCATGCCTGTAATCTCAGCTACTCAGGATGCTGAGATCTGAGGATCACAGTTCAAACTGGGTCAGGAAAGTCTGTGAGACTCATGACCAAATTAACCACCAGTTAATTGGAATTAACTGGAAGTGGCACTGTGACTTAAGTGGTAGAGGGGGACAGTGTTCAGGCCCAGCATTCAAGCCCCACGACCACCACCACCAACAACAAAAATTGTCCAGGTTAACGAGATATCCTTAAAGTTCAAAATGTTATCATTATCTAGGTTCCTGTAGCTCATGCCTGTAATCCTAGCTATTCAGGAGGCTGAGAGCTGAGGATTGTGGTTCAATTCAAAGCCAGCTCTGGCAGAAAAGTGCCTGGGAGACTCATCTCCAATTAACCTCTCAAAAACCAGAAGTGGTGCTGTGGTTCAAGTGGTAGAGCAGTAGCCTTGAGCAGAAAAAGGCTCAGGGCCCAAGTCCTGGGTTCAAGCCCCAAGACCCATGAGAAAAAAAAAAGTTATCATTTCATTAAGCATAGTAATGTGTCTATTAGTGGACAAGGAAGTTTTGTTTCTGGTTTCAAAAGTCAGCTGGAAGATAGTTTAGAGGCCCAGCAGAAGCTGCTTAATTTACAATGTAATTTTTCAATGGAAGTATGATTCAAGTAGTAGAATGCCAACTTTGAGTGAAAAAGCTACATGAGAATGCAAGGCCTCAGTTTCAGCTGCAGTAGTAATGCACACACAGAAAAGGCCCAAAGAATGTGTTTTCTTCTTTCCAGTGTGGCTTTTGTTTTTGTTTCTAGAAGACTTTCAGTTTGTTAGTTTAAAGGGATAAATGAACATGGTCATTTAATTTTTGAGAATTGTGTGTGTGTGTGCGCGTGCGCACTAGTCCTGGGGTTTGGATTCACCGTCTGGGCTCTATCCTTGAGCTTTAGTGCTGAAGGCTAGCTCTTTATGACTTTAGCCACAGCTCCATTTCCAGCTTTTTGGTGGTTAATTGGACTTTCCTGCCTGCTGGCTTAGAATTGCAATCCTTAGATCTCAGTCTCCTGAGTAGTTAGGGTTACAAAGCACGAACCATTGGTGCCTAGCTGAGCCATAGCTATTTGTGGAGTTTGAACTCAGGGCCGGGGTACTGTTCTTCATCTTTAGTGCTCAAGGGTAGTTAGTGTTCTACCACTCGAGTCACCGCACTACTTTGGCTTTTTGGTAGTTAATTGGAGATAAGAGTCTCAGCAGGAGGGACAGCGCCCATGCCCAGAGTTCAGGCCCCATGACCAGACCCCCCCCAAAAAAAAAAGGAGTCTCAGGAGGCTGAGTTCTAAGGATCAAGTTTCAAAGCCAGCCCCCCGGGCAGGAGAGACCCTAAAACTCCTATCTCCAATAAACCACTGGGAAACAGGAAGTGGCACTGTAGCTCAAGTGGTAGAGCGCTAGTCTTGAGCTGAAGAGCGGAGGGACAGCGCCCAGGCCCAGAGTTCAAGTCCCACGACAGACCAAAAAAAAAAGAGGCTAATCAGTTGTTCTCCTGCTTGGGCTGGCTTCGAACTGTGAGCTTCAGACTTCAGTCTGAATAGCTAGGATTACAGGTGTGAGCCACTAGCACACACTTAAGATAGAGCTTTTTTTTGTTATTATAAAAGTGATGTACAGAGGGGTTACCATGTCATGTCAGGTAATGAACATCTTTCTTTTGGAAAAGTCACCCCTTCCTTTGCTCTTTTGCAGTTTTTCCTTCCTGTCTCCCCTCACAAGTTGCATAGCTCATTTTGAAGATAGTAAGACATAGCTTTTTTTTTTTTTTGTGCCAGTTGTGGGGCCTGAATTTTGGGCCTGGGCGCTGTCCCTCAGCCTTTCAGCCCAAGGCTAGTGCTCTACCACTTGAGCCACAGCACCACTTCTGGCATTTTCTGCTTATGTGGTACTGAGGGCCTCATGCATGCAAGGCAAGCACTCTACCACTGAGCCACCTTCCCAGCCCAAGACATAGCTTTTTGATGGTTAATTGGAAATCAGAGTCTTACAGACTAGACTTCCTGCCTGGACTGGCTTTGAATTATGAATCTCATATCTCAGCTTGCTAAGTAGCTTAAGATCACAGGTGTGAGCCACTGGTGCCTTGCAATGCACCCAGCTTCTTGAATGATATTCTTAGTAGTTGTATTAGTTTGCTAAAGTTGCTATAACAAAGTACCAGGATGTGGAATGAAATATAAAATCATGTAGCAGGTACCTGGGTTAGAATTCCTCACATTAAGAAGGATGGGTTAAAAAAAAAAAAAAAGGATGGCTGATATGAAAGGCATCTAGCATCTGCTATGAGAGCTCAGGGAAGTACAACCTTCCAGTCTTCTAACTTCATGGTTGCTATTTTTTTTTTTTTTTTTTTATCTAGCATCTGCTATGAGAGCTCAGGGAAGTACAACCTTCCAGTCTTCTAACTTCATGGTTGCTATTTTTTTTTTTTTTTTTGGTCGGTCGTGGGGCTTGAACTCTGGGCCTGGGCGCTGTCCCTCAGCTCTTCAGCTCAAGGCCAGTGCTCTACCACTTGAACTACAGCACCACTTCCGTTTTTCTGGTGGTTTATTGGAGATAGGAGTCTCACGGTCTCTCCTGCCCGGGCTGGCTTTGAACCGCGATCCTCAGATCTCAGCCTCCTGAGTAGCTAGGATTACAGGCGTGAGCCACCAGCGCCCAGCTATGGTTGGTGTTTTTTTGGACAGCTCTTTCTGTTCCCAGGCTTGTAGAAGTTTCAAGCAATCTTTACCAGCATCTTCCCACATTGTTCTCTCTGTGTCTCCCCTTTTTTTTTTTTTTGAATAAGGAGACAGTCACTTTGAATCAGGGCCCACCCTAATGACCTCATTTCAACTTGATTAAATTCAACCCTATCTCCAAATAAGGTTACATTCTAGGTGCTGTGGATTAGAATTACAACATGTGACTTTCTGGGAGATAAAATTCAAACTCTACCAAATTTGTGTGTGTGTGTGTGTATGTGTATATACTCTGGGTCTTGGTGCTGACTTTAGATTTTTCACTCAAGGCTGATATTAGATCTACCACTTGAACCACAGCTCTACTTCTGGCTTTTTACTGGAGATAGGGGTCTCTCAGATTTGTCTTCCCAGGCTGGCTTTGAACCATGATCTTCAGATCTCAGCTTCCTGAGTATCTAGGATTACAGATGTGTTATGGTGCCTGGCTCATGTGTGGGTTATTTTCAAGATAAAGTCTCAGTAGTCTTGCTTTTATAACCAAGGTAGCTGGAACTGTAATCCTGATACTTGTACTTCCAAACATTGCTGAAGTGACAGGCATATACCAGTATACACAGGCGTTATGCTTCACCCACAGCTGTGATGAAGTGTGTACCGCTATGCGCAGCCTCCGGTTGAGAATGGAGTTTCTCAACTTTTTTGGCCTAGGTTCACCTCAATGAGGCTCAAACCTGTCAGTACTTGGGCCTTCCAAGAAACTTTTATTTATTTTTACTTTGTTGGCTCCTGACCAACAAGCCTCTCTTTACTGTTACTTGTGTTGCCTTTTCTTCAATTTGATTTTTGTTAGCCATTGGAACACAATGGAATTATTATGGTTTCAGTTGTAAACCTAAGATTTATTTATTATTTTTTTTGTCCATCTTGGGGCCTGAACTCTGGGCTTGGGCGCTGTCCCTCAGCCTTTCAGCTCAAGGCTAGCGCTCTACCACTTGAGCCACAGCTCTACTTCCGGCTTTTTCTGCATTTGTGGTGCTGAGCCAGGGCCTCAAGCATGCAAGGCAAGCACTCTATCACTGAGCCACCTTCCTAGCCCCGATTTATTTGTGTTTGTGTGTTAGGGCTTGAATGCAGGACCTGGGTGCTTTCCCTTAACGTTTTTGCCCAAGGTTAATGTTCTACCACTGGAGCCATAACTCCACTTCTGTCTTTTTGATGGTTAATTGGAGATGAGTCTCATGGACTTTGCTGCCCAGCCTGGCTTTAAATTGTGATCCTCAGACCTCAGCCTCCTTACAAGATAGGATTGACAGGCCTGCTGGAAACATCTTTCAGTTAGGTTCAAGGTAAAGGGATTATGCAGATAACAGCAAGGATCTGGCTTGGATGCCTAGTCAGAACCTCATAGGGTGCCAGTACCCAAAGGGTGTCACTTCTAGAACCCAGTATTCATTTGGCTTAGTGTGTGACGGCAGGAGGGGCCACCTGGAAACTGAATCATGCCAACCAAGTCCAAGGACGTCAGAATGCTTTCCATTTCTTCCTTCTACACTTCTGTCTCCCACAGCTGATAGCTGTTTGTCTTCTGCAAAATGAACAGCAGTGAGCAAGATAAAGCCATTATTTTGTGAAAATACCTTTATTATTTTTGTCACCATAGGTTTTAGTATATGTGTGATAAGCTGCAATTTTTCAAAATCAACTCAAAACGACCCCATACCCCCAAAGTACGAAACTACTAGAAGAAATCACTTGATAGCTCACGACTCCCCTAATCCTAGCAACTCAGGAGGGTGATATTTGTGGATCTGCGTTTGAAGCCAGACAGGAAAATCTGTAAGACTCTTACCTCTGATTAACCAGCAAAATTCAGAAATTAGAGCTCTAGTTCAAGTGGTAGAGCATCAGCCTTGAGCAAAAAAGCTAAAGATGGTGCCCAAGCCCTGAGTTCAAATCCTAATACTGGCTACACACACACACGCGCTAAAAATTTTTAAATTTTGCCAAGGCAAAACAAGTGACAGATATACTATAAATAAATAGATACATAAAAAAGGAAAGACAAACTAAAATGGAAGTGATTAGCAGAATGATTCTTTGGAGTTTAAAAAAGGTGTGTACACACCCACAACACCCGGGCAGGGGACACTGGGTGGGGGCTCGAGGACATCCGAGCTGCGCCCCCCTCGGGCTCCCCCCTCCCACCCCCCCCCCCCCCATCGTAACCGTCGCAACGACCGAACGGCCGCGCGGCCGGGGCTGCGGGCGGGGCTGGCGCGGCCCCGCCGGCCTGTCACCTAAGTCAGCGGGCCCAACCGCCTTCTCAGCAGGGCTTGACCGCGGCGGGCCGAGCTCTCGTGCTCCCCGGTGTTCGATCTCGGAGACGACGCGGCGGGGAGCGCCCCGGGAGGGGGCCGCTGGGCTCGGTGCCCCCGGACGGTGAGGGCCGTGGGCGAGCGGGGGGCGCCGAGGCCCGCGGGGTCACGGCTAATAAAGCGCCTCGAGCCCGCACTGGCTGCGTTGTTTTCTAGGGTGCCCAGACGAGGAAGGGCAACCGCGGGGGTCGTCACGCCCCCAAAGGCTGGACTCAGAAAACAGCCGCGGACCCCTCCTAGCGCGACTTTGAAAGCGGGGACCGACGCATGCGCGCGCCGCCGGCCGCCGGCCGCCCGCCCGGGGGCGCCCCAGAGCGCCGACCTTCTTCCCGACAGCCCGCGAGGGGGAAGAGGGCGGGGTAACGGCATTCTCGCGAGAGGTGGGGAGCCCCGGCGGAAGCAGCGAGCACGTGACCGTCCTCAGCGGCCTTGGACTTCCCCCTCCCCCTCCGCGGGAACCCGGCCCCCTCACCCCTCGCCCACCCCGAGCCGCGGCAATGGGCCGCTGGGGCTCCGGAATTTCCTTGGATCCGTTCACGGGTACCAGGCAGCGGGCGCCGGCGGAGTCCTTTGTTTTTTGGTGGCGAAAGCAAGGGATGGTCGCGATGGGGGGGGGGGAACCACCTTCCTTCACCTACGAGGGAGGCGGGGCGCAGAGGCGCGCGGGGGCCGCGAGGGGAGGGGG